CATATTCCAAACCTATACTGCTTTCTCCGCAATAATTTCATTTATTAACTTGGGCCTCATACGCTTATTCCGTTGTACAGAACAAAAGCTTCAAAGTTTGTTAATTTATGTAATCCTATTCACTAATGTAATATATCCTTGTACTGAAAAAACATGGAAATAACTATCTGTCCCTTTATTGATTTTCTTTACTGCTATCAAACGCGAAAAAAATAACCAACTTATGTGTATTATCTTCTTCATATTAGTAGCTCCCTCCATATTAGTAGCGCCAAAAGATATTACCGTTGAAATAATAAAGAAATTAATTCAAAGTCCTGATCAACTTCCTCATAAATCTGACTTGAAAAATTTCCTTAACGAAAATCCTCCAGTAAAAATACCGCTTGCTCCTATTCATTTTTCCCAATTTAACACCAGTCTGGGTGGCATAACTGAAGAAGAACGGGATACATATTTTATACTAAGTACAGAAGCGGAATGTACATCACTTTATTTAAGACTTATAGCACCGTTAATTTACCCTCCTTCATATGGAAAAACTGAAGACTCGTATCATTGTTTGTGGGATTGTGTTATTAAAAATGCGATAGAAACATTTGGAATGCATAACGCTAGTTTACCGACATTGGAATTTGATCGCAATACTAGCAAGCGAACCTCAACAGGTAAAGCATGTTGTAGAGATTAATCAGTATGATATATATTAACAACAAATTCATAGGTCGCAATCGCCCAGACATGGTTGTATTAGTGAGAAACGTTTGTCCTTTTAGAGGTGAAGAAAAGTCCTGGGAAGAAGCAGGAGATCCTTCAAGTGAATTAATTGACAAAATCAAAGATTGGACTTATGGAGATGCACCGTACATCCTTGCATACTACGCTATTGGTGTTCAAATTACATTTGTCGCTTTGTATAAGCCTGAAAATAAGAAGAGAAAACAGAACATTTGTTCTGAACGAATTGCAGAATTCGATTTAGGGCGTTTGTCAGATAGAGTTCGAATTATGAATTTCCTTCGAAATATTTGTAAGTGTTTTTTTGAGCTTTAAATTATTACCGTAAAATACTAATCTATTGCATGTTTATTTAGGTCGTATATTACCTATTATAGTGAATTTATGCCCTCAGAGGGATTCGCCAGAATTTCAAACAATGGTTCGAACAAATGGAACCGTTATTGAGCTTGGGTATGCAATTAAGAAAAAATTTGCGAACGAAGACCGAGTTGCACATTTAAAAGAAATTTATGGAATATTAAGCGTAAGTTCGATAATTTTCAAAAGGTTCAAATTTTTAGGGCACATTCTAACTATTTATATAGGCAAATAATGTTAGATTTTCCGACAAATTAGAACATTCATCTACACATTCTGTTAATTTGGCGCCACGTGGAGAACAACGTGAACCAAATGATCTCAAAGAATTACTACAGGCATTAATTTGTACACTAACTTGTTTGAAGGTATAGTTTAGTATTTTCACTATTACGTATATATATTATATTTATACATTTTTATCATATTCAAACAGGGCATGCATGAAAGTAAGCCCAAACCGATAATGCACAGAGACATTCGATGGCCGAATATTATTCGCCATTATGACGGATATCAAAGATTTATTTTACATCCCCCCAGAACTTTTAAGCTTCAGCACAGATTTGTGTAAACATAATCCAAATAATCGACCAACTACTTCAGTTGCTCTCGATCGGGCAAAGGATATGTTTAGAGAGGTGGTTATTTATAGCAGATTAATCTTTGTTTTTTTGTTCTTTTTTTAGTAATATATTTTAACAAATTTTAAAACTTTAGTGGTTTGCAAATGATAATTGGCTGGAAAAGATCGAAACCGAATAACTAGCTTAAATTTATAAAATATTATTAGCATATTACTAATAGGAATAATTATTTCACCAGGCTTTGGGTTCAACTATTCACTTCTCATTGCGAATATGTTGTATTATCCGTGTTCGAAAAAAAAATAAAGTCTGCCCACATTTCGGGCTTTGTATTTAGCATGTGTTCACATGTATGCGGTGTGACGAAGCATGAGTCGAATTTTACTTATATAATCGCTTTTACTTTTTCATGTGCATTTCGAGATTTTATTGTGTCGGTAAATATGATCGCTTTTACCTTTGTATGTGTATTTTGGAATTTATTTCAATGATTTGATATTGATGCCACATATGATCGAAAATTTTTCTGGTAAATAATAAAACGCTATAGCAAAATTTTTTTGATATTTCCTAGTTTATATTTTTGTTCTGTATTTTATTTTTATTTTTTATATCAATAAAGCTGGCTCTGGTGGCCGATTTCGTGTACATAATCAGTTTACTTTTGCATGTGTATTTTGGGATTTTATTTTATTGTATTATTATCGATGTATATTAACTCACATATGATCGGGAATTGTTATAAATTGGAATGGACACATAATATTTTTATTTTGAATACATCCACATTTTATGTTAAACAATGACAGATTCACAAACTACAATTGCTTCGTTAAGAGAGCTAAATTCCAAACTTAAAGTTGAAATTACCGAACTTAGAAAAAAATATAGTAAGGTTGAAGCTGAGAACATGAAGCTAAGGCAGATTATAAAAGAAAATACAAAACGTGATGCTAGAGTTGAGGAACTAGAGCAAAAGAATATAGAACTTGAGATCAGACTTGTTATATTAGAGCAGGAAGAAAAAGGTATTTCTACAAAAGATGCTTTGCAATCTCTAGTAAATTCCAATGATACTCTTGATGATCCATCATCTGATATAATTGATAAAACTTTAAATTCTAATGATACTCATGAATAGATAATCTCATGTAATGAGGAGTCTAACATATCTAGCCATGAAGTGACTACCTCTGGCAATTCTGATACACATCAGGAATTAGAGACCTTCACATCTCCTACCTCTGTGAAAACCATATCATTGGAAGAGAAAGAAGAAAATGAATTTCTGGATTCAATGTATAAGGAACAGGTTAGTAACAAGATAAAAGATAGAATCAGAGAAAAAAAGTTTTAATGCGAATTGGTTGAAAAACAAGTTTAAGACTTATCACAATTTCATGAAATTACATCCAGAGATATGGAGTCATGATCCCAAGTTAATCATAATACAAAAAGTGTTCTCTAAGGGAATATCAAAGTCATGTGATTTTAACAGAGTCATCTTTATTGCAAACTGAAGTGTCTGAATTAAAACAGGACAATGAAATTAATAAAAACCAAATTGTTGAACATGATTTAATACAAAAATTGCATTTACCTACTAAAGAAAACGATAGTTCTATCAAAATTGGTAACTCTGATAACAAATCAGTGAATATGTTTTTAGAGGAATCGAATATTGTTTTCTTTGAAAATTCTGCCCAACATTTGTCTTATTTATTTAAAACAACAATTAAGTCAAGACAACAGAAAATCTTAAACTGATATTATTATTCTCTTGAATTTGAAAATAAGGTTCATGATATTATAGTCAATGGTAAAATAAAAGATAAAATGGCCAAAACAATGATTTACAAAGAAATAAAACCTTTTCTTCCTAGTATCACACAAGATAACTTATGCAAAAAAACTCTAAGAACTAGAAAGCTTCTTATGTTATTTGGAAAAAATGAAATTGGAATAGATAAAATTAAGCAAGTCACTTATAGCATAAATGAGATTTCAAAACTGACTAATGTTCAGATCCAAAATATTATAAATTAAGTAACTTTAAAAACCGTTCCCTTAGGAAATGATCAGACTAATGCAAAGGTGAGCACTTCATCTAACTCAACTCATGGCTATGCTTATTTTCATAATAAAATATTAGGTCGATATCCTGATATATATAGAGAATTTAGTAGTAAAAAATTCAATTATTATGAAATTATTGATAAGTCATTATGTCCAATATGCAAGTTGAATCATAGAGATGAGAAAAGTATAAGAGATAAATATGAAGCTGGATCTTATTTTATTAAATATGAACAACAAGAAATTGAAATAATTGTGTAAGTAAATAATTACATAAACTGGTCAAGTGAATAGTAATATTTTTTTCTCTGCAGAGCAGGATACTTCATGTCTGATAGTTATATGATTTTGAATTAAGTTGCATTAATATAAAACAATAACATGTCTTCTGATACTACCTCCAGCAAGATATTAACTGATGACTATTGCAAATGGCATGCTAATTTAGTTGATTTACCAAGTTTTCAGACAGAAAAAATTCATTCTAGATTATATAGAGCATACACAGAAGAGACTAAACTGGATCCTTAGATAAAGTCTGAAACTTCTGAATCTCTGCAAAATGAAAATGCTAATAATCATATCATACAAGACAGCTTGTTGGAAACTCAGGTAATGGCACTAAACAAAAATCACCTTTATCATTATGCCATCGAACATGGAATAAATTTCAAAGAATTTTTAATTATTACAAGAGCTAAGAAAAATAGGTGAACCATGAGATGTTTTCATGGGGATTTGGAAAAAGATATACATTTTTATCATAATGGAACAGAAAGAAAAGAAGACTCTAGAAAATATTATAAATTTTTAACAGATTGGAAAAGGCTAGTTGGTGAAAAGTTATTATGTTACAGTATACCAAAAAGTGGTTTGAGTACTGCATGACTCAATGATCTTATGAAAGAATGAGAAAAAATCCATGCTCAATTTACACAGATATTTTTTGAGAAAAAGACTTTATTTGTACCACAGATAAATATTCAATCTGGACCATCCAAACCTTGATCACTAATTTATGTTCTATCTAAAGACCTGAAAGAAAGGCAACAATATGTTATTGAAATAGTATTAAAATGATTTTCTTATTTAATTTTGAAACATAGTTTTAAATATAGTAATTATTTTGATTTTAATAGATCTGTACTCTGTTCTATATGCAATAAAGATCATAAAAAAAAATATAAGAAATAATATAGAGGGTTTATGGAGGAATGGTGATTATGTCAATACAAAAACTTATCATCTCTATTGTTATATAAATAAATATCAGAATTCAATTCCAATAGTAACAGTAAAAGCATAGATTAATAAGTAGAGCCCATTCATATGATCAGTTAAAAAAATGGTGAACCCACTGAACCCCTTTTTTATTTTATAAAAAAATTATTAAAACAGTATACAAATAAAAAAAATACATCACAATTGCATACTGCAGACAAAAATATGAACTATTTATTAATTTTGATTTAGCCTTTCTTGTTATTGTCCAGGATTCTCATACTTATTAAAATCATTTTCCTCACATTATTCTAAATTTTCTTCTGAAAAATTATCCAAGGGTCTGCTTTTATCAACATTATAGTCATTATCTTCTCTGAGATCATAGGTTGAATCATCTAATTTAATGCATAGACATGGCCTATAAAATAAGTTTTAGTCTTAGTTTCACAAATATATGAAGAATGCTTTCTAATAAAAGTTATCTCCTACTATATCTGTTTCTTTTACTTCAACATTGATGATTAGAATTAGATGTCCTTTGGCTAGGTCTTGAATTGGGTGATGTTTGGAGGACATAATAGTTCTCGAAGGGGTTACTATTATCAGTCATGGAGGTGATAGTGTTATTACTCGTAGTGGTAGCATTATTAGTTTTGAAGGTGGTGTTGGTATTATTAGTCTTGAGAGTGGTGTTGGTGTCATTAGTTTTGATTGTAGTAGTTTTTTTTTTACTGCTCATTTTTCATACCTAAATACAAAAAAAATCATAGTAAGAAAAAAATTCAGTTTCATAGCTGAAGTAAAATGAAATAACACAAATTACTTAAAAAAAATATATAAGCAAGTGAATCAAATAACATTATTGCTAACTTATCTTATGGGTGGAAGCCTGCTTATTTTTATATTTCACGTTCATTAGGTCTGAGAACCTGCCAGAAGAAAAACTTCATTAATAATTAAGTTACTCAAATCTAATGGCAGTTTTTATCTCTATAAAGCAACTCCACTTGGTCATAAGTTCCAAATACTAAATGTATTTTATTATTTTTTTAGGTGAAATTAAACTCTTTTAGATTTGACAATCACTTAAGGTGGATTTAGACTAATGATTTCGAGATAGTAGAGATCTCAAGTTTATACAACATATAAAACTACTAGTTAAGAAAATTATATGTATTACCCTTATAGCCTTTTTAGCTTCAAAGAAGTGCTCCTCTAAGGCAAGTCCTTTTCTTATCATGAGATCATATAAAGTAAGGCTTTTAGATATTCGTAATAGTAGTATTCATTATAAATCAACTGTGAAAATTAATTTTGTAGAAATGTGGTACAAACTATTTAAGTAACTTGTATCACAAACTTTATTTTTTATGCAATATCTTAATACTATAACAGTATGATTTATTTTTATACATAAAATCACATATTGGGCTAATATCCACATGATGTTTTATACATGACTGAATCAACTATCATAGGATGTAAGAATATTTATAGCTTAAAGGCCTCTAAAAACAAATATGAAGCTAATCCTCTTCATTTATATTTTCCATACAGAAAGGTTGACTACCTTTTATATCAGGCATACTAATATCACTATCATTTTGTAATACAAATATATTAGAAGTTGAGGTAGTATTTGTCAAATTAGGTAAAGATAAGTATGTTGCATTATTTAAATTTCTACCTACATCATTAGTGTTATGGGCTGAATTCCCATCCACATTATTTACATTACTTATATTATCTCGATTAGTAGTTTCATCTCTTCTGATGGGATTTCTTCAGGTCAGGAATGCAGATCAATCTCTTTAACTAGTGGAAGATTCACAGTGACTTATATTTATCATTGATGAAACTTCTTCATAGATTGGTGGTAAAGTGCAGTTTTGCCATCTTTCTTTTCTTCTTCTTGAGAATGTGTTTATGTTATATATTTGATCAAACTGTGTTTCTAAATTTTTTTTATACATAATTAATAAATTAATAATTTGTTTTTATTTTAAAAACACCTACAATAAAGGCAGACAAATGTTCGAGATTAATGTAGAACCTTACCCAGTCTCTTCCAAAAACATGAACGGAATTCCTCAAAGTATCATACTCCGGTTCTGGTTCTTTGCCCTGCACGATTTCTTGCTATATATTGGCACATCAACTAACAAGAATCAAGAAAATCATTAGGCACTATCACAACCTAATTATGGTTCAATCTGTTAATAAGTGCCTTCAGTAGAAATACTTACAGTATGATCCCTTAAAAGATTTTGAAATTTACCCTTGCATTGATATTCTGTATAGTTGATACTAAATTTCCTATTAATTATATTTGCAATATTATTCCAAAAATCCACCCTACTACTTCTAGAAATATTGTAGTACTTGACATTTCTATTTTTTCTTTTGGCGATTAATAAGTGTAATTGATCATCAGCCCACATTATTAAGATTCTAACACATCTCAACTGTGACTTAACTGTGATACACCTATTTTTTTTTATAGAATTATATAGAAAAAAATACTGCAACTTAACTGTAACTCAGCAGTGAATTAGTATATCATTAGATGATACAACCAAATTAATCATCAGATAATCATGACATAACATCCTAAAGAAATATGATTTTTGCTACATTCTGGACCGAGTGATCTAAAATAAAAAATTTTATATACATAACTACTTTGTTTTGAATAACTAGGATGAACATTATGTCCAAAATTTCATAATTAAAAGGAAAGGTAAGTGGCTAGAATTACATTAAAAATTCATTAAATAGTATAAACCAGAAGAGTCAGACTCAATCCAAAAGATCATCATCCAATCTTCTGTTGCTCTTAATTTTATAAACTTCTTCAATTTTCTTCTTTAGTATAAGATGTAATATGTATTACGAAGTAATAGCCTGATCGAACATCTGTATTATGCAATCGATTTTATTACTAGACATATCAAAAATTTCTTGGTATTTTTTATTGTATTAATAAAACAATCAGGCCTAAATGGTTATAGCCACATATTACAAAGTTTTTAATACATGCTGATGATATTGTAAATATAAAAACCTAACTAATAGATTCTACTATAATATGAATATGTCTCGTTACAGGCTTTTTATCAAAATAATCACTAACTTTATCTTGCAATTTCATGTCTTTATATGTTTTGGTCTTGGGATTGAATATTTGAATATTAAAAAAAACATTTTTAAACTCTTTTGGAAAATGCCACTAAATTTTTGCTTTTCATAATCAATAGATTCTTTTTCGAATATGATAAGACTATACCTAAAATAGTTGGTTGGAAATTTGAAAAATTTATGGATAGAGATAACAAGAAACTCGATATTAAATTGTTTGCCCTTGTTTTCCGAATCCACAAGAGAATCATAATCCTAAGTAATACATTATTAGTAAAGACCGAGTATAAAATATGTGAAAAAGTTTTACTATATCATATACCTACCATTTTTTCTTCTGATATGAATAAAATAAAGGCATGATTTCGCTCATATATATATATGTTTTGAGTTGGGAATTTGTATCTTTGCTATCACATATACATCATTTTTTTGCCGATCATGCCAGCAGGTAATTCACATGTTTTTCCCTTATTAAAAATTTCATTTTGGATCACCAGATCCAAGATATACAATTTCACGATGAACAATTCAGATATCTACATATGCTAAAGAAATTAGTAAAGAAATGATTTACAAAACCATTCTTCACTATCTTGGAAAAGCACTTGAGGAATGGTTCAATCACTACAAAAAACAATCCTAAACATTTGACTCAAGGGTTAGTCAATAATGAGGTTAGAATTTAACTTCTATCAGTTAGCCAAAGCTTGCTTCGAAAAACGAAAGAGCATACCCAAAAGATTTATAATTTATTTATGAGATTGGGATCAATAAGATCAAACAAATTCAGAGCTTTACAGTAGTAATCTTATTAGAATCTATGTACTCCCTCCATAACAGCTCTTAAGATACTGAGCATGAATCAGAGAGTGTACGAAGCAGCAAGAAGACAAGGTTGAATAGTTTATTGAATAAACTAAGATAAGAGATACATTCCCCATTCCCTCTTTTATTTACTATGCTAACCTGCCCTATTACTAATTACCAATATGATTTTATCTTAATGACTTTATTTTTCATGCAACGATAATACTAACATTCTTATAACTACATTTTTTATGCAGTGATAATACTGATTATTAATCTAACTATGCATAAGGATAACACTAATAATAAAAGTACTACTGTATGCCCAATATTTTAATTATTGTATGCTGAGTTGTCTTTTGTATCACTGGTTATTATTATTTTTGGTAAAAGTGATCAGTGTAACAATTTGTTACACATACATAATTTTTATTTACATGAGAAAAAATATCTTGGATTGTCATATTTCCTAATATACCCACAATAGGTTCATTATATATTTCATTTGCAAATATGGCAAATATACAAAACTTATCTAATAACCCAATTCACACAAAAAATGAATTGCGATATTTATTAGTATATAGTTATTAAATCAAATAGGTCTAAATTTCTAAATACAATATAAATCACATAATCTCTAAAAACACTATAATACATTAAATTACTTAATTATTAAATATAGTCTATACAGATAATTGTCCAGTTTTAAATGATATCGAGTAGAGGGATAACTGCCAATTTCCAGTAATTTGTGATAGGAAAACACCATCTAATTGGAAGAACCAAATCTGGAATCAATTAGTGAATTATAGAAATAACAATAAATTGACTAATTATAATAAGTGATATCTTATTGCCAAAAAGATAGAATCTACAGAAGAATTTAGTTATCATATGGCTGTTAAAGTGAATATTGCTATATATTATATCTGTGATCAGTTTGTTTATATTGATAAAAGAGTAGGCTATAAATTATATCACAATTATAAGATGAAGGAACATTGGCATACAAATTGTACTGAAAATAAACATTGTGATATATGTTTCAAAGAGTATATAGAGCTTAAACAAAAACCAGAAGTTGAAAGCGATATTTACACAAGGTTAGCTATTTATCGATATGAATTATGAATAGAGAATCTTATCAATAGAGTTAAACATATTTAAGAAACAGCAAAAAAGATCTAAGCATGTACAACTATACAGAGGAAATGGCTAGAGTATTTTTACAGACCTGAAAGTATATGTGCAACAGAACTTGCTCAATATTATAAACTCTTATGGGGAATTCGAGAGAAAATGTGCCAAATTAACAATGTATAGACTATGTCTGCAAAGCAATTCATATATTTATTTATTTGATTTAATCTATTTATTCGATTTATTAATTATATAACTTATTCATATATATATCTATTTAAAATAAAACAATCTAAAGTATTCTCAAGGGCTAGTACTTTAGACTTAATTTCGTTATCTTTCCTAAAAGAAAGCTAGTAACAGTTTTTTTGCATAGAGTAATTGTCTATCATTTTCTTAATGCTATTCTCAAGATCACAATTAAATATCTTTTTATCAATAATTTTCTTGCATAGCAAGCCACTTTCATATCTCTGAGTATATAATACAATTAAGTGCTTTGGAAGTTTGTGAACAAACAAATCATCTTGGCTCTTTATATCAACTCAGATAGAAAAGTGTTGATGTAAAATAAAAATCACACCCTCTTGAGACTTTATCACTTGAAGTCAGAAAAATAGATAGCAGAAATATGCATATTACCTCCATATATATTACCTTAGTAGCTTATACTATATCTTTTTTCTAAAAAATGTGGAAAAAAAGGAATTAATACTAATAGACTTTTTATTTCTACGAAGCAGAACACTTATGTGGCTGATTTTTCAAATTCAAAATTCATGGTCTTAGCAGATAATGCATTTTTTATTGCAAAGCAATAGTTCTTCGAACCTATCTTGTGCATTTCAAAACTTTATATCTTTTTGCAAATCTAGTGGAGTATCAAACCTTAGCTGAATTGCAAGTGGATCATTCTTAGGCCTATCTAAATCAAATACAATAAATTTGCCTTTGCGTAAATAGTTATTAATAACCATTGATGTATTTTTTATGTCATTTGTATATTATGAATAATTTTAGAAACATCTTCATATAAACTACCAGAATTAAAAAGTACTAAATAATTAGCATTTTCATACATGAATGTAGTGATTTTATGATATTTCAGTATTACAAATATATATAAAATATTTTGATGTTACCTATTTCCAAAAAATTAGCCAATTTAATTTTGTATATGTTCTGAAACGAGACACAAATTCTCAAAAACAATTGCTATACTTCATTTAGATGAAAATGCTTTTACACTAGGAATTTTTTCTGATAATATATAGCTAAATCATATATTTTCATAGTAAGATGCTTTTGGGTCTTTTGAAATTATGCCATATATATATCTAACAAATACCCATTTTGGCTTGTCAGAATGATAACCACAAACTATTAAATCATCACAAGAAATATATCTTCTACCATCTTTTTTTTTTTATATATATATTCAGTTTTATTACTAAGAAAAAGATTTGTTAAGATATTAGTCTTACCTGATCCACTTTTTTCTGTAACTATCATTCTAAAGGGCCATGTTGGGCTAGCTAGATGAGATTGACAATGAGATGCAACATGTTTATTAGCTTTGTCTATATCTATAAAGAATAGTTTTATAGGTAAAAGTTCTTTTTTTCAGTTTTTTTGTATAATGAATTGGGAATCCATAACTATGATTTTTATAAATTGGATAAACAATTTCTTTTTTCTGATAATTCATTTTATTTTGTTTGTTCATAGTTGGTTTATATATTTCAGAAAACAAATTGCCAGAGGCAGTTATATAATGAGTATAATCTGGCTTCGAGTTCAAAAAACGAGAAGGCGAGGTTTGATGAAAAATATTACTGTATATATACCAAATAATTAATATCACTATTATTGTAATAATGACAATTTTAATAATAGAAGGAATTTGATACTTATCATTAACTAAAGCCTTGTCAGCACATACTGTTCCTTCTATTGTAATATCTTGAATTAATGATTCTGGATTCTGCTTATTTGTGATAATTGGTAATGTTTCATTTTCTTTTATTACTAGCTCATTTTACTTTTAAAATATTTTGCAAGACTTTTAGATGAGGCATAGCCTTGAATCTCTGATTTCTCTGATGTGTCTCCAGAATTTGATATGAAACTTTGTTCCTTATTCTGTGTATTTTTTTCTGTACCTTCCCTAATTACAGGATCCAATATATTTTTTGTTTTCTGCGAAGCAGAATGTAAAGTGCCTAAATACTCAATTTCATTCATTTTTAAAGCTAATTCATCCTTTGTATTCATTAGTTCATTCTTTATATTAATTAATTCAGGCTTGAGAGATATAATCTCAGATTCTTTTTTTACTATCTCTTTCTGAGTTAAGAATGCATCCTTTTGAGCTGATTCTAACTTACTTTCTAGTATTTTTTTCATAAACTGAAGTGCTGTAATTTTCTTTGATTTATTTTGAGTTGAAGATAGTTTTGTTTCCAATATTTTTATCTTAGACAGGAGATCTTTTCTTTTAATCTTAGATTCTTTAAGAGAAATATCTTTGTGAGTAATCTGGGATGTTAGATTAGAGTGCAATTATTTAACCTTATCTATAAGCTAAAAAGCATGTTTGGAGAGTTTCTCTTTATCATTATTGGATTGTTTTAGATCATATTGTATATGCTTATTGTCTTTATCCAAGACAGAGCATTTATTAGAAAGTCAATTGCCACACTTTATAATAATTTCTCGATCTTGATTTGCACAAACAAGCTGGTTTTCAAGTTCTGTTCGGCTAGATGTATATCGATTAGATGGTATACTCCTGAGTTTTTGACATTCACCTATATTTGATAAAGTATGAATTCGAGACATACTTCAGCTAAGTAAATATAAATATAAATCATTAAAAAATCAATACTTATACAAGAAAATCGATAGATACTGGTACCTTTATATATGAAATTTATTAATATATTTCAATATCTACCAAAAGAAAACAATACATATCAATGCCTACTAAAAAGAAACAATACTTATTAATATATATTAGATGTTTACTAAAAAAGAAACAATACTTATCAATATATATTGACATTATAATAACATTAATATATTTTAAAAAATATTAATACTTTTTTTTCTATAATATATTCTAACTTAAAAATGGTCAATCATCTTCATCAAACCTTCTATCGATCTAATGCAACCCAATTATCAGAGTTTGATATTAAGGAGATTAGAGATTCAAGAGAAAAAATTTCAAATGCATTAAAAAAAATGACTGAAAAATTTCATATTGGTGCCCACCATGTATATGAGATATAGGAACATAATAAATGTTTCCAACAAGGTCTTGATAATCAAAAATATTTTTTATTACCACCTGATTCAAATGAAGGTCTCATGTTAAATAAGTCTCAAATTAAGAAGATTCTAGCTAAGAAAACATTGACAAAAAAGATTAGCTAAAAAAGGAAAGTTTCATCATATTCACATATAGTAGGCTCGAAGAGTGATAGTGCTGCAATAAAAAAAAATACCTCTTCTAAAGATAGGTTCAAAGAACCACAGTGTGCACAAACTTTGTTCGATACATCTAGAAGAAAAGCAGATCTTGAAAAATTAATAAAAGATGCTGAAAGATTAGCTTCTATATGCCCGTCTTTGCCTCAGTAAGCTGAGAGCATCTTTCTGCAAGAACTCTACCTACACTTAAAGCTATATCATGTCACTCTTCAGTTTTTATGAGTCACTTTTTAAGTAAGTCATATTTTTTTTTAAATTCTCACTATCATACATATCTGAAACTTGTTGCTTTGGTTCATTAACCTCTGTAGCCTTGCTAAAAGTTGGGATAGTGTAAGTCTTCCTATATAACTTCATTTGAAATTGATTTTTATTTGGATCAAAAATACCTTGAACTTTTCGAATCCATGTTATACCTAAACATAACATTGGTTCAGGTTTATCATTATTAATACAAGCAAAATTTCCAGTAGCTGTAACAATCTTAGCATCTTTGTCCTTTACACTAATTGGCATATCTGTATACCATCTTAATGATTTGAATATATGTTTGGAATTACCCTTTATAGCAAAGTCAGAAGGCTTATTAGCTTTCTACTTCAGGGCATTAATTGTTGCATCATTTACTCCTCCGAATTTACTCATGCTATCTAAAAATGAATTAGTGATCAATAGATTATTTATATTACAATGCAAGTATTGCAATGACAAAAACCATTCATCTGATTTTGATATTTTTTCTGGACTTTATAAGACTGACACATTTTATGCATTGCTAGTGAAAGCTTTGGTAATAGTTCATCATACATTTCAGGCTGGATAAGTTCTGAAAGTATTTTTTCATTTACCAGTACCTGTTTTTTTTTCTGACTAAGATGGAGCATGCAATTTATTCTCTTTCTTATTATATCCATCTTCTTCATCCTTATTATTATCTAAATCAGAAGATGCATATTGGGATTTGGAAGGTATTAGAGGAGTAAAGTATCGATATGTTGAATTTGATTTAGCTACAGGTTTTTTGTTATCAAGCATCATCTTTCTGAATTAAGATATCATTTGACCGATTTCATCTACTTTCAATTTTATTCTATCTATTCTAGCATTTTGATTTGATAAATATAATTATCTCTGATGAGGTTTTTGAAAAGACTTTATAAGATAATTTCTGTTGAAATCTTTTTTACTAAATATACCTAAATTATTTAAGTATTATGATAAGCAAAAATTTTCTATACCTTCTTCTGTTTGTAATGAAGGTAGTGAACCTCTTGACTGTCTAACTAGTTCAATGGTTTGAGATGCAGATACTTGCATTTGCTTAGCCATTTGTAATTGAAAATCAGTTTTTTGTTTTTCTAATAAAGATTAGTATTCAGTTTTTTGCTGTGCTAGTGTGTTTTGAATTGCTTTTTGCATATTTTCTAAAGAAATTGTATGCCCTTGCTGTTGAGGAGCTGGGGTAACTAGTGGTAAAGAATAAGATACTAGATTTATACTAGATAAGATTTGCACTTGATTGGCAATTTGACTTAATTCCTCTGGGATTCTTTCACTAAAATTTTGTTCATGCTCTAGCTACATATTTTTTAGTTTAGTGAAAAATGCATTAATGCCTGCAAAATTAACAATTCTTATCCAAATATAAAAATCGCCTGTTAAATGACTTTTAAGAAATCCCAAAACTTGTGTATCATTGTTTGCTACTTCTAATAATAGTGGTCGAATTCTGGCTTCATAGGTATCAGAAGTATCGTAAAGCTGATATTTTTCTTGAGTTAATCCTTGAATAGCTGATTGTTGATTTCTGATAGTTTCTTGCTAATATTTTGCTCTCATCCAAGCCTGTAATGTATCTGGAGAATTTATAGCTAGATTTCTACTACAAGATTATTATTTGCTAGTACTGGAATATATTTTCCACCCATTATAGATTTTAAAATATTATACTTGACTGCATTGTCAAAATCTCCTGCATTTGCATTTTCAAGAACTATCATATGCCCTTCAAGATATGCCCATAATTGAATAACTTTATTCAAGTAATCATTAGGTGGTTCTTGGCCTGTATAAGGTGGAAATTTTGCAAGAGCAGGAGCCATTAAGTTTAATACCAATAAATGTCTAGCATCAGCCATGTTTATTTGATTTGGTAGATTATTATAAACAGTGTTGGAAATCTGTTTTGAAATTTATGTTCTCATGAGAACATAATTATTTAATTTAATGTTCTCAAAAATATTTTTATGTTCTCAATAGCAAAAATTACTGTTACTATTTTTTGAAAATTTTCAGATAATATTAGTAATTTATTTAAATTTTTATCTCAAACTTGCTTGTCTTTTATATTTGTTCATTCTCTTTCCAGAATTTTTCAAAATTTATTCATTTTCTAATTGTCAAATTAATTTGTACTATAGTATATAGAGAACATATTTATCAAGCAATATATTCTCGAAAATTTTTTATAGAGAACATGTTCAAAGTAACAAATGTTCTCAAATTCAAAAGTATGTTCTCTTGAGAACATGAGAACATTAGATTTCCTATACTGATTATGAAGTGCAAAAATTTATTGCTGTAAATTTAAAATATTCTGGCACTTTGCATGGGTCTTATTTTTCTATTTAGTATATCGCTCATAGAGTCTGTCTCTATTTTATTCTAATAATTCCTGATTAGCTCTGCATTGTTGTAGGTAGTGGGCATTTCACTGATACAATAACTGGAAAGCAAAATTTTTACATAGCAATTCACTAATATGGGTTTATTTTTTTGCTATATTATCTATCATTCTATTTACCTGGTTTTGTGTATTAGTTTGCAACTGCTAAAGATTAAGCAATGCCTGATCTCGCTCTTGCCTATACATATCTTGGTCCCATTATACATTTACCAGATCTTGTTGTAGATTAGTGTATTTATGTCAAATTGATTTTGTTGATCTTTTAATTTGATTTGTTAAAACAGTTCTACATATTGCTGTATTATTTAGAGATCAGTCTATAGCATCAGCCAATTTAGCTATTGTTCCCATATTATAATCAGAATTATATAAGTTTGGAAAATTTTCATCAGAATCAGAACAAATTCATTTTCATTAAAATTCCATGCTTGTGCATTTTGTAAAGCTGCTCATGTATTTGTAAGTTCTAATTTATTTAATTTCTTAATAATGCTAAAGCAGAATTTTAACAAAGAAGGTTAGTAATACTATTTTTTTGCTAGGTATTTTGTTAATCCTATTTATTTGGTTAGTTCTTATTGTATTTATTTCTTGTTTAAGTCACTCGTTTTCATCTACTAATCTTATTGTATAATCTTGTGCTTTAGAGGTATTGCCAGCTGATTTTGATATTTTAAGAATTCTGGGTTTTAATTTTGTCTCTCATTCATCGAATTCTAATATTAACTTATCCTTATTAGAAATCTCCTTATCTTTCTTTTTATTTTTTTCTCAAGTTGGTGAACAATTCTTTTGAATTTTGAGATTTCTTCTAATAATTTTTCTTTGTCTTGTCTAGAAAGCTCGATAGTGTTATTTAACTTTTCTTTAAGATATCGTATTCTTTCTTCATGTATACTTATACCTCTTTCTAAGGTATATAGCTATTGTTCAAAATTTTTATTTAATTTAGCTAATTGTGATACCATCTCATAGAGTTTCTGGTTAGTTTGTTGTAACTCCTCCATGTTTTTTATTACTATAATAAAACAAAGAAATGGAGAAACTGTAATTTATATTGACCCACAAAGAGTCCATGATTTGGATAAGAAGATTACTTTGCAAAAAATTTATTATAGGCTTGAAGGTTATTATCAGACTGCTGAAAAAATGTATGATGCATGTAAAAGAGCTAGACATAATTTTTCATTAGCTAAGATACGTAATTGGTTAAATAAGCAAGCTGTTCTTCAGATTTACAAGCCACCTCCAAGGTATATTCCTCAAGTTTTATTTAATACAATTCAAATTCCTAATGAATATTATCAGGCCAATATTCTCTATATGCCTTATAATAAAATTGAAAAAATAACCTATATGTTTTCTCTTAATGTAGTAGATATAGCGAGTAGATATAAAGTATCAATTCCAATTGGAGGTATTATTTCTAATATTGATATAAGCTGGCTAAAAGCTAAATATGTTAATCTATTGCGGAGCAATGGCTCTTCAAGCCTAAAAAATATTTTAACTTCCAATACTATTGCTAAGACATTTAAAAAAATCTATAATGATCTAACATGTCTACTTATTTATCCTAAATTATTATTAACAGATAAGGGCTCAGAATTTAGAGGGGATTGTGAGAGCTGATAAAAAGGCATAGTATAAAAATTCAGAAGGCTAATTCTAAACATAGTATGGATATTGTTAAAAGATATAACTGAATCTTGGCAGAGAGATTGTTTCGAATACAAAATGTGTCAGATTTGCTATTGCCAATATCTGAAAGGTCTAGGGTTTGGGTGAAGAATCTTCCAATTATTGTTAAAGAACTTAATAATTATATAACTCAACTTCTTAAAATGACTCTTGCAAAAGCTATTTAAAAGAAATGGGTTAGTGCTATGCCTTCTTTACCTTGCAATAGTTCTGTTGGATTTGATGAACCTCGATTATCTTATAATATTTTGGTAAGATACTTACTTGAACCAGGTAAGTTAGAAGGTGGAAGACATTATACGACTGATTGTAATTGGTTTCTAAAAGTTTATCATATTAAAGAATACTTAATACAAAAAAATCAACCAGTATTGTACTGGATTACAGATGAAAATGGCAATGGACCTGAAAGATCATTTGTTTGTGAACAATTAATGAAAGTTGATAAGATCAAATATCTATCCAAATGGGTATTACAAGATTAATAGTGAAGTTGGTATCTTTAATATATATTAATTTTTAAATTTCCAAACCATATATTTTTTGAAGAATTTCAACTACTTGTAATTTTATTTGCTTTTTTACTTTTTCTTTTTAATTGGATATTTCTAAATATAATTTATATAATTTTTCTAAACTAGTATATATCTCTTCATTGTATTAATCTTTAAAATCTGCTATTCTTTCATTATAGGTTTTCTTATTTGGAGTACATTACTTTGCTATATATCTAATATGATCTTCTGGATCTCTTTTTTGCTATAAAGTTTTAAGATAGTTTATATATCACAGGTCGAATGAATGAATAAAGGGTGAATAATAGGTAAATAACAGAAAAAAAACTGCCATTATTCTACCCTATATCTGCCAAATAATGGCAGCATAACAGCAGCATAACAG